CTTCTCCAATTTTACATAGTAAAGAGGGGGGTATAGTAACCAAGAATGTATCATTAGTAATGCTTCACAGAATGTACCCTTGTGGCTAACAGAAGCTGGTATTTAAAAAAGACTTTAAAAGCTTAACACAAATAAATCTCCAGGACCAGATGGCTTACACCCAAGAGTCCTCAAAGAAGTCAAGTTTCAGCCAGGTTATAGCCTGACCACAATTTCTAATTTTTATGGACAGTGTAATGACGGGAATAGTACCAGCTGATTGGCAAAAGGCCAACATGGTACCAATATTTTAAAAAGGGCAGAGATATATACCTGGAAACTACAGACCAGTTAGTCTAACATCGATAGCATGGAAAATGTTGGAGGGGAAGATAAGGGACTTTATCCAAAAATTCACTGATGAAAACAGTATTATTAGAAGTAATCTGGTAACATTCTACAAAAGAAGTGAGCTGTCATCTAGATAAGAGAAAGCCTGTGGAGGTGGTATATCTGGATTTTGCAAGAGCATTCGATAGAGTTCTAGATAAATGCTTAATTTATGAATTGAGGTCTGTTGGCATGGACCACAAGGTGTGTACCTGGATAGAAAACTGGTTACAGGGGCGTGTCCAAAGGGTGGTGATATATAGCAAGTACTCAGACTGGTCTGCCCTGGGACTGATTCTGTTTAATTTAATTATATAGTTGCAAGAAAAAGTATTTGATCACAACCCATTCTAATTGCATTAATATATACACTAAGCTATAATCTTCAATGTGTAGTGTTGTGAAAAGTGTTGTCATGCCAAATCATATTTTCAAAGGCCTACTACAGTTGCAAGAAAAAGTATGTGAACCCCTTGGGATTACGTGGAGTTTTGCATGAATTGGGCATAAAATGTGCTCTGAACGTCATCTAAGTCACAACAATAGAAGAACAGTCTGCTGAACATAATACTACACAAACATTAGATGTTGCCATGGTTTAATTGCACATAACATGTAAACATTCACAGTGCAGGGAGGAAAAAGTATGTGAGGCCCCAGCTTAATGACTTCTCCCAGATCTAATTGGAGCCAGGAGTGAGCCAACCTTGACTCCAATCAGTGTGATGATATTGGATGTGTTGCTGACAGCTGTCCTGCCCTTAAAAAACACACACCAGTTTTGGGTTTACCGGTTTCAAGAAGCACTGGCAAAATATACTGTGGACAGATGAAACCAAGATTGAGTTTTTGGGAAGAACACACAACACTATGTGTGTAGAAAAAAATACACAGCACACCAACATCAAAACCTCATCCCCACTGTAAAACATGGCGGAGGGAGCATCATGGTTTGGGGCTGCTTTGCTGCCTCAGGGCCTGGACGGATTGTTGTCATTGATGGGAAGATGAATTCCAGAGTTTAACAAGACATTTTGCAGGAAAACGTACGACCATCTGTCCGCCAACTGAAGCTCCGCAGAGGATGGGTGATGCAACAGGACAATGACCCAAAGCATGCAAGTAATTCAACAAAACAATGGCTGCAACAGCACAGAATACGCCTTCTGGAGTGGCCCAGTCAGAGTCCTGACCTCAACCCGATTGAAATGCTGTGGCATGACCTTAAGAGAGCGATTCACACCAGACATCCCAAGAATATTGCTACGCTGAAACAGTTTTGTGAAGAGGAGTGGTCCAAAATCACTCCAGATCGTTGTGCAGGTCTGATCTGCAACTACAGGAAACATTTGGTTGAGGTTATTGCTGCCAAAGGAGGGTCAACCAGTTATTAAGTCCAAAGGTTCACATACTTTTTCCTCCCTGCACTGTGAATGTTTACATGTTATGTGCAATTAAACCATGGCAACATCTAATATTTGTGTAGTATTATGTTCAGCAGACTGTGTTCTTCTATTGTTGTGACTTAGATGACGTTCAGAGCACATTTTATGCCCAATTCATGCAAAACTCCACATAATCCCAAGGGGTTCACATACTTTTTCTTGCAACTGTAAATGATATAGAGGTTGTTATAAATAGTTCAGTCTCAGTGTTTGCTGATATGAAGGTAAGCAGGGCAATAACTTCACTGCAGGTTATTGAAACTTTACAAGAAGGCCTCAATAAAATAGAAGGGTGGGCAACTACTTGGCAAACTAGGTTTAATGTTGAGAAATGTAAATTAATGCACTTGGGGGCTAAAAATATGAATGCAAGTCACTCACTACGGGGAGCACATTTGGGGGAATCCAGGATGGAAAAAGATCTGGGGGGGCCTAGTAGATGACAGACTCGGCAATAGCATGCAGTGCATAAAAAGGGAATTTACTTAACCATTAGCCGCCCGGCCAATGGCCGTTTGGCTGCTTCAAAAGTGTCTCTTCATTCCGGGAGCACGCCATTTGGCGTGCTCCCGCACATGCACCGTTTGCGCTATTGCAGAGCGGCGCAGCAGTGCAATCTGTCACCGGCCGTGCACCTCGGACACGGCCGATGACAGATCCGAGTACCGGCTCCCGTTGCAGGTACCATGTGACCTGCTGTGACCAATTACAGCAGGTCACATGACAGTTGCATACAATGGATGGCTTCATTCATGATGCCATCCATTGTATACTAGTGCCTAGCTGTGAATGGTCACAGCTAATCACATGCACATGTCATGTGATTAGCTGTGACCAAATCACAGCTAAGCACAAAAAAAAAAAAAAAAAAAAAGCTGAATGAATCGATTTCATTCAGCTAAATGCTTGCTTATAGCAAAGTAATTCTTTGCTATAAGCAAATTGTGTAAAAAAAAAAAAAAAAAAAAAAAAAAAAATACTGATCACTTCCCCAAAGTAGTACAATGTTACTATGGTAACATTGTACTATTTTGGTCATAGTAAAATATGAAAAAAAATCTTAAAAAAAATAAAAAAAAATGTAATAAAAAATTAAATATAATAAAAAAATTTAAAAAAATTAAAAAAATATATATATATATATTTTTTTTTCATACTGTCACCAGTCAGTGTCCCTGATCACCGCCATGCCAGTTATATGATGACGCTGTACTGCACTGGTGACAGTATGTAAAAAAAAAATAGTGAAAATAATTTTTTTCATTTTTTCATTTTCGGAAAAATTATGACAAAAAAATACAACTTCAAAAAACTCGCCATGCCTCTTATGAAGTACGTCGGACTGTCTACTCTGCAAAAAGGGTCATTTGGGCATATCTGTACTATTCTGACATTCTTGGACCTCAAGAAATTAGATTGGCCGTCAGTACTTCAGGATTGATCAATATTCAGATATATCCCATAGTTTGTGAGCTCTATAACTTTCCTACAAACTAAATAATACATCCTAATTTGGGTTATTTTCACCAAAGACATGTAGCAGAATACATCTCGGCCTAAATTTATGAAGAACAATTATTTATTTGTAAACTTTTATAACAGAAACAAAGAAAAATGTGTTTTTTTTTTTCAAAATTTGTGGTCTTTTTTTGTTAATTTAGCAAAAAATAAAAACCCCAGCGGTGATTAAATACCACCAAAAGAAAGCTCTAGTTGTGTGAAGAAAATGATAAAATTTTAGTTTGGGTACAGTGTTGTATGACCGCGCAATTGTCATTCAAAGTGTGAGAGCGCTGAAACCTGAAAAATGGCCTGGGCAGGAAGGTGTAAAATTGCCCGGTATTGAAACGGTTAAGAGATAAAACTATAATTCTGCCACTTTATAAAACTCCGGTTAAGCCGCATCTTGAGTATGTCGTCCAATTCTGGTCACCAACCCACAGGAAGGATACGCTGGAAATAGAGAGTCCAGGGAAAGGTGACCAAGTTAATAAGTGGATTGGAAGACCTCAGTTACGAGGAATGGCTACAAGCAATAAACTTATTCTCCATAGAGAAGAAACGCTTGAGAGGAGATAGAGATAAACAAATATCTTAAGGGTGATTCTAGCATAGGAAGCAAGTTATTCAGTCTTAGGGAGTGTGAAGACACGCAGCCACTCAATGAAATTGGAGAAGTGGTTTAACCTTAAACTATGTAGGGAGTTTTTCACTGTCAGGGTGGTAAGGATGTGGAACTCCCTTCCACAATTAGTGTGTCAGCAGGAAGTACAGATAGTTTCAAAATACTCTTAGATAGGAATATTAGCAAACACAGTATACAGAGATATGGGAAATGGCATTTGACATGAACACCCACACAGGTTGAACTGGATGTGTCTTTATTCAACTTTACCAACTATGAAACTATGAAATTCATTTGATGTCTAACGTCTAAACTGTCATTATGTAGGTTTTTTTTCTTATGTGTGAATAATTTATTTATTTACCAGGTACCATAGTAAGTGATCAAAAGCAGTGTTCATTGCAATTGGTAGTTTGGTATGTTTTTTTTATGATTCGTGTAGCTGACATAAAAGGTACTCACAGCTCTTACATTTGTGTTCTGTAATATGACTATGGTTACTTATTCATCTGAAAAATAAATCAGAATTAAGCAGGCTTACATATGAAAAATGTTCTCGCTGTAATACTTCTCTTCAGTGTTGTCTCCCAAAGACTAATGATGTCAAATGTCCAGCCGCGGACCTCTCCCAGGCTGAATGTCGGCTGCTATCATTCAACCAAATTTTTGTAAGCCGGGCTGTCATTAACACCCCCCTAGGGTTCTGTCACAACACTGGCCTGAGCTTACTGTAGAATACTTTAGACAGCAGCACTTAAGTCATTTCATCATACTGGTGCTCTCTGCAGTATGGAAGACTTCCCAGCATTGACGACCAAAAGACTCCTTGATTCAAGGTACATATATGGGGAAGTTTAAAAATAAGAGGTGCAAGAGAGGTACAGGGGTATAGTTTCAATATTGACATTATACAGATATATCAAAACAACTTTAAAAAGTGTTTGTTTTTATCTTGTCTATCTATATTTCACATGGTACTATATTATGGTTGTTTCTTTTATAGTGTCTTAAATGACAGCACTAATGCTAGTTTAATAATTTATATATGTGTTTGTTTACAGGGAGACAAGGGTGTCACTGGTGCTATGGGACTCATGGGCCCTCCTGGTAGACCTGGTGCTATTGGCCCAGCTGGACCCCCAGGACCAGGTAATAAGAATACATATAACAAACTTTTATAGAGCCAGTACTAAGAATATAGCACTGTTTAGTTAATTTAAAAAAAGATGACAATGCAGTCAGACTAAAGTCTGCAGATGAAGGAACATAATAACGTTGACCACAGCCACCAGTCAGGTCTTTTTGTATGTTTCAGCATATCTATAACACATGGAAATCAGAATCTGCACACAGAGTCCAGTTCTTGTATTTTGTAGTAAGCAAGTCTTTATATAATGTAATACTTCAAGGTGAATCTGTAAAAAGGTTTCAAAAACTGAACAGCCCAGAGATGCCTGCACATGCTATTGTGTTGTGGAGCTCTGAAACTCAGTGAATTTTATAATGCTAATACAGACATCAAGTAAGAAGTAAGCCATTTGCCCCCCTCTCCCTTTCTATCCTTCTCTATCTTTTCTGCTTTCATAACAATTCCTAACACTGTATTGTCCCACCTCTACTAAGGTGTTGACTACCATCATTGGTAAATGTCGCACACACTGGGAATCACTGCTGCACAGGGGCAGACTGACCATTTGGGAACCCGGGCACTGCCCGAGGGCCCTGGGTGAGTAGGGGGCCCCATGAGATGCCCCTGGTACCTTTTCATAGGCTTTTTTGGGTGTGGTTTGATTGTGGGCTAGGACACGGGGGCCCCACGATCCCCTATTGCCCGGGGGCCCCATGAGTTGTCAGTCCGCCCCTGCTGCTGCAGTAACTAACAAGAGGTATGTGCAAGCACCTCTTGGTGGTTACACTTCTGTTGCATTAGTTTGCTTACTTTAACATCAGTACAGGTTCACTTTACTAATGAATAACTAAATAATTAAAGTGTATTTAAAGCGAATACCTTTTTTCTAGCATTATAGAGAAAGGGAGAAGTAAACCCTCTGCCAAGTGTTTACTGTTGTCTGTTTCCACTTTGGGGATATTCACCGCTCTATTTGTCCTGGGAATCATTGTCGACTGGACAGAAATTAAAGGGAAATCCTGAATTTTAAAGTTGAACTCTAGGTATGATCTTTATTGCATACTTGCTTTCATTCAGTTTGGCACAATTTAAGTACCATATCTCATACCACATGGGTTTCTGGGGAAGTTGGGGAAGGTGTTATATGAACAGTGGTTGTGCCAAGCCAATTACCCCCTTTGGTCAGTGTAATGAGGGGGATCCGATCCAACAGGACACAGAATACTGCAGTCCATCAGGTATGAGATATGCATACTTACATTGGTCCAAGCAGATGGTACCTGGAGTTCAGATTTAGCATTGGTAGCAGGAGCTGAAAGTAAATCTTCCAGTGGGAGCAAATGATCTGGTGACAGCTGTCTAAGATGGGACTTCCCCTTACCTTGGGGAGACTCCTCTTATTTTCTGTTGCATCTACAAGACAGGAAGTGAAAGGAAATCTCCCCAGCAGACATAGAGCAAAAAATAAATAAATAACCCGATAAGGGTTTTGACCTTATCTTATACTGTCCAAAATGAAAATTGGCCATATTTACATTTTAAAAAACTGAATCTTATTAAGTTTTTTTTCCAGATCATGCTCTTTCTATAGGTGAAATCCTCTAGTAATTACATTTGCCCTGTATGGTGATAGATGGTAGCGTAAGGGCTCAGCAAAGTCCCAACAAGAATACAAGGCAGTTTTCCTTATGCCCTAATGTTTCAGTCCACACCAATGTGCTGTATTGGGATTTTTGGTGAAGAAAAGTAGGGTGGGATGCATTTTTATGCAGATAAATGGCTATGCACTACACTGCATCTGAACACACTTTTCTGCATGAAGTTGAATATCATCTTGTGAAATTTCAATAAAATAAAAAAAACAAAAACGGTAAACAGTGTAATGCATTGTAACCAAGCACCACACCACCCTTACACAACGCACGCCAATTGATGCATGGTATACAGAGGATATAGCACACCCTCTGGTGTGAATGGGCCCTAAGCATAGCAGCATCTCTTCTTCCATCCTCCTGACAGCTTATCAGTTTGACTGCTTCTGTGGCCATTGTTATGACGCACACACAAACAGCAAAACAAACCTATAGGTAGGGCTGATTGTATCATAAGGTACAGTAGGCCTGTGCCTTTAGGAGTCAAAGGCAAATAGGAGGTTCTCCCATTTATAGTTAATTGTCACTAATTCCATCATTCTATTCTCATCAACTGAGGGTAATTTATGGTCATTTACACAATGATACAATACTCTGTCCTCAGTACAGCTAAGCTCCTTCCTGCCGCTGTAGCTGTCACACAAACAGCACAATGGTTGAAAAGCTTTGTAGATGGGTGGGTGGAGCCTGATGGGAATTCAGAGACACCAGTTCCTCATCAGGTCTGCTCTCCTTGTGATTGACAGCAGACAGTCCCATATGGAAGAAAAATATATTTGAAATATATTTTAAAAATATTTTTCCCTATCATATTGCCATATATTTGAAATGCTACAATTTTGGCCATATTCAAAATATATTAAAAAAACAAAAACAAATATATGTAAAACTATATGTTAAAATGACTTTTTTCATATGTTAAAAAAAAATTCTGAAGAATTTATTAAAAAAATATATATTTTTAAAATATATTCTTCCGTAATTTTTTTTTGTAACGTAAAGTCATTTCAACATATATTTTTAAATATATTTGTAAATGTATTGCAAAAATGTAGATTTGTAGTTTTAAAGACATACAGTATATTTGAAATGTATTTTTAAAAATATTTTTCATATATTTTGTAATAAAAATGCATTTCAACAGGCAGTATATACAGTTGCAAGAAAAAGTATGTGAACCCCTTGGGATTACGTGGAGTTTTGCATGAATTGGGCAAAAAATGTGCTCTGAACGTCATCTAAGTCACAACAATATAAGAACACAGTCTGCTGAACATAATACTACACAAACATTAGATGTTGCCATGGTTTAATTGCACATAACATGTAAACATTCACAGTGCAAGGAGGAAAATGTATGTGAGGCCCTAGCTTAATGACTTCTCCCAGAGCTAATTGGAGCCAGGAGTGAGCCAACCTTGACTCCAATCAGTGTGATGATATTGGATGTGTTGCTGACAGCTGTCCTGCCCTTAAAAAACACACACCTGTTTTGGGTTTACTGGTTTCAAGAAGCACTGTCTGATGTGAACCATGCCTCGCAGAAAAGAGCTCTCAGAAGACCTACGATCAAGAATTGTTGACTTGCATGAAGCTGGAAAGGGTTACAAAAGTATCTCCAAAAGCCTTGATGTTCATGTGTCCACGGTAAGACAGACTGTCTACAAATGGAGAAAGTTTAGCACTGTTGCTACTCTCCCTAGGCTTGGTCGTCCTGTAAAAATGACTGCAAGAGCACAGCGCAGAATGCTGCATGAGGTAAAGAAGAATCCCAGAGTGTCAGCTAAAGACCTACAGAAATCTCTGGCACATGCTAACATTTTTGTTGACACATCTACAATAAGGAAAACATTAAACAAGAATAAAGTACATGGGAGGACACCACGGAGGAAGCCATTGCTGTCCAAAAAGAATATTGCAGCACGTTTGAAGTTTGCAAAAGAGCACCTGGATGTTCCACAGCACTACTGGCAAAATATACTGTGGACAGATGAAACCAAGATTGAGTTGTTTGGGAAGAACACACAACACTATGTGTGGAGAAAAAAAGGCACAGCACACCAACATCAAAACCTCATCCCCACTGTAAAACATGGCGGAGGGAGCATCATGGTTTGGGGCTGCTTTGCTGCCTCAGGGCCTGGACGGATTGTTGTCATTGATGGGAAAATGAATTCCAGAGTTTATCAAGACATTTTGCATGAAAACGTACGACCATCTGTCCGCCAACTGAAGCTCCGCAGAGGATGGGTGATGCAACAGGACAATGACCCAAAGCATACAAGTAATTCAACAAAACAATGGCTGTAACAGCACAGAATACGCCTTCTGGAGTGGCCCAGTCAGAATCCTGACCTCAACCTGATTGAAATGCTGTGGCATGACCTTAAGAGAGCGATTCACACCAGACATCCCAAGAATATTGCTACACTGAAACAGTTTTGTGAAGAGGAGTGGTCCAAAATTACTCCAGATCGTTGTGCAGGTCTGATCTGCAACTACAGGAAACGTTTGGTTGAGGTTATTGCTGCCAAAGGAGGGTCAACCAGTTATTAAGTCCAAAGGTTCACATACTTTTTCCTCCCTGCACTGTGAATGTTTACATGTTATGTGCAATTAAACCATGGCAACATCTAATGTTTGTGTAGTATTATGTTCAGCAGACTGTGTTCTTCTATTGTTGTGAGTTAGATGACGTTCAGAGCACATTTTATGCCCAATTCATGCAAAACTCCACGTAATCCCAAGGGGTTCACATACTTTATCTTGCAACTGTATATATATATATATATATATATATATATATATATATATATATATATATATATATGTATATTTTATTATTATTATACAGGATTTATATAGCGCCAACAGTTTGCTCAGCGCTTTACAATGTAACAGGAGACAATAAAGCAACAATACAGTTCAATACAAGAGGGAAAGGAGGGCCCTGCTCCTTGGAGCTTACAATCTATTGAAATATATTTTGAAATATGTTGAATATGGCCAAAATTGGAGCATTTCAAATATATGGAAATATATTTGGGAAGAATATTTTTAAAATATATTTCAAATATATCTTTCTTCCATGTGGGATGGGAGGATTTCTTAGCCAACAGGGATCTGCCCACTGCCTGCTGTCAGTCACAAGGAGAGAGCGAACTTGATGGGGAGCTAGTTCCTCAGCTTGCAGGTAAAAATGTGCATGTATTAAAAGAGAAGTATGGGAAACATTTTTTTTTAAATTATACTTACCTATGTGGATGCAGCTTTGGTCCAATGCTGCACCTGTCCCCTGCTGGCTCTAAGGGATCTAAGCTCTCACCACCACTGTGAGCAGAGAGAGGTGACTGAATGATACTGCCAGGCGGGTGGAGCCCCGCACGGCCGCAATTTAATTTTTTTAAATAGTGACAGAGAGCAGAGGGAGAAGATCCCCTGCTTGCTATCACTGGAGGCAGAGGCTGCAGGAATGGGAACATGTTAAAGACAGGTGAAACATGTAACAAAAAAAATCCTAAAAACAGGTGGAACATGTAACAAAAAAAATCCTAAAAACAGGTGGAACATGTAACAAAAAAATCCTAAAAACAGGTGGAACATGTAACATGTTCCCAAGGGTGAACTTATCCTTTGACTACTTCCAGTTTTGCTGTCTATGATTTGTAGGTAATTCTTTTTTAGATTTAGTGCAGCCATAGCCCCACTTTGTAAAAGTAATTATTTAAAGTGTTACTAAACCCTCAGCAGTAAAATTAGTCTGTTAATGCAGTAAAGCATGCTTGTTATACTCATTGTGGAACCTAAGGGGTTAATCCTCTGCATTGTGTAAAAAGGCTGTTTGATCCTGTCTTCTCTCCCCCTCCTCTTGTTCAAATGTCCACCTGATATGACCGACTGAACCCGTAGCCACATGCTCAGTTTAGTGTGTTTTGCTAGAGAGGTTTTTTCTTTCTTGGGAGAGTGCATGTGATCAGCACAGGGTCAATCAGCACTGTCCAGACAGAGGTCAAGGGTTCTGCATCCTCCTAAAGCAGAAAAGAAAATTCCTCCTACAAGCTTTAACCAGTGCTCTGCTGAAGTCACAAGACTGCTCAACTGCTGATGAAAATAAGTATTTAGCAGTTTATATTTACTAAAATAATTGCATTTCCATGTTCTGTGTACTGTGGGAGACCAGATATAGTGAATGCAGGGTCCTGGGATTAGTAACCCTTTAAGAACTACCTGAATCTGCCGCACATTTTGGTAAAGCTACCTAAATTGGTGGCAGAGATTTATTTTATCTGATGCAGCCCATTTTAAAGAGCAACATAAAAGTGTCATAAGTGTTTTGTTGAATTCCCATGAATGTCATTATTACTATTTCAGCTCAGCTAATTGTTGGACCAAAAGGAGAGAGAGGCGTTCCTGGTCCTCCAGGAAGGTGTCACTGCAAACACCCCCAGTCTGTGGTTCACCCTCACAATGAGGAGTCGTTTAATGGAAACAGTTTTGCCAAGGTAACCTGGCCACTTCAACATCTACAGTACCTCAAAATGATCACAGTCCACTGAATACAGCAACATTAACCTCTTCCCACCGTAAGCATACAGCATATGGGGCCTCTTGGTGGGTGGGGCTTAACTCTGAGTGGCCACATATGTGCAGCCCTGTATAAACAACTTACTGTGCTGAGAGCACACTCCCTGCACGCTCCAAACACGGTAGCTAGTGGTAATCGGCAAGCTCATCACCAATCACAGCGGTCACATGGCCTAAATGCCCAACTTTGCCTCCCAGCATCTAATGGGTACTGAGGGGGTGAGCCAGCATCTGGGTGGATCCAGACATTGTCGGGTTCATTCCAGAGCCTGGAGAGGCTCTATGACATCAGCCGACATCAGGCTTCAGTTTATTCTGGGTCATAGAAGTGCATACCTGTGGCCTACTGGAGAAGTATGGCCAAAAAAGATTTGGCTATACCATTCTTTTCATTTTACTTGCAGACTGAAACAAACTTTTACTATTTCTAATGAAAACAGAACAATTGAGAATAGTGGCAAAAGATTTTCTTTTTTTTATTAAGGAATAGTTATTATTAGTATTGAAATGGGCATAAAATAAGAGCATTAATGTGGACAAAGCTTGCAACCAGGGGCGGACTGACCATTTGGAAACTCGGGCACTGCCCGAGGGCCCGGGGGTCAGTAGGGGGCCCCATGAGATGTCCCTGGTACCTTTTTCATAGGCTTTTTTGAGTTTGGGCAAGGATACAGGGGCCCCATGATCCCCTATTGCCCGGGGGCCCCATGAGTTGTCAGTCCACCCCTGCTTGCAACTATGCACCTTCACTTTCCATATATTGTATATATTCAGCAAAAAGAAGAAATAAGACAAGGTCTTTACAGTATAGCATACACAAAAGAAGTATATTACATAGACAAATGGTAAGTTATCAATTGCCTGCTGATCGAAATCAGAGACCTAATCGCAGACTGTACACAGGAATAAGTGCAAAATAATATAGCTGAGTCCATATAATTGATCAGAGTATATTTGGCTGAGAAACTGTGAAAACCTAAACAAAAAAAAGTGTCATATGCCATCTGAAACAGGGACATTTGGTACTTGGCAGTATCCTTAGACATAAAAGATCCCAAATGAGTATACAGTGAAGGAAATAAGTATTTGATCCGCTGCTGATTTTGAATGTTTGCCCACTCACAAAGAAATGATCAGTCTACAAATCGAATGGTAGGTGTATTGTAACACTGAGAGACAGAATAGCAACACAAAATTCAAAAGAAATGCATGTCTAACAAATGATGCACTGATTTGCATGTTCATGAGGGAAATACAGTTGCAAGAAAAAGTATGTGAACCCCTTGGGATTACGTGGAGTTTTGCATGAATTGGGCATAAAATGTGCTCTGAACGTCATCTAAGTCACAACAATAGAAGAACACAGTCTGCTGAACATAATACTACACAAACATTAGATGTTGCCATGGTTTAACTGCACATAACATGTAAACATTCACAGTGCAGGGAGGAAAAAGTATATGAACCTTTGGACTTAATAACTGGTTGACCCTCCTTTGGCAGCAATAACCTCAACCAAACGTTTCCTGTAGTTGCAGATCAGACCTGCACAACGATCTGGAGTAATTTTGGACCACTCTTTTTCACAAAACTGTTTCAGTGTAGCAATATTCTTGGGATGTCTGGTGTGAATTGCTCTCTTAAGGTCATGCCACAGCATTTCAATCGGGTTGAGGTCAGGACTCTGACTGGGCCACTCCAGAAGGCGTATTCTGTGCTGTTGCAGCCATTGTTTTTTTTAATTACTTGTATGCTTTGGGTCATTGTCCTGTTGCATCACCCATCCTCTGCGGAGCTTCAGTTGGCGGACAGATGGTCGTACGTTTTCCTGCAGAATGTCTTGATAAACTCTGGAATTCATTTTCCCTCAATGACAACAATCCGTCCAGGCCCTGAGGCAGCAAAGCAGCCCCAAACCATGATGCTCCCTCCGCCATGTTTTACAGTGGGGATGAGGTTTTGATGTTGGTGTGCTGTGCCTTTTTTTCTCCACACATAGTGTTGTGTGTTCTTCTCAAACAACTCAATCTTCGTTTCATCTGTCCACAGTATATTTTGCCAGTAGTGCTGTGGAACATCCAGGTGCTCTTTTGCAAACTTCAAACATGCTGCAATATTCTTTTTGGACAGCAATGGCTTCCTCCGTGGTGTCCTCTCATGTACTCCATTCTTGTTTAATGTTTTCCTTATTGTAGATGTGTCAACAAAAATGTTAGCATGTGCCAGAGATTTCTGTAGGTCTTTAGCTGACACTCTGGGATTCTTCTTTACCTCATGCAGCATTCTGCGCTGTGCTCTTGCAGTCATTTGTACAGGACGACCGCGCCTAGGGAGAGTAGCAACAGTGCTAAACTTTCTCCATTTGTAGACAGTCTGTCTTACCGTGGACACATGAACATCAAGGCTTTTGGAGATACTTTTGTAACCCTTTCCAGCTTCATGCAAGTCAACTATTCTTGATCGTAGGTCTTCTGAGAGCTTCTCTCTTTTCTGCGAGGCATGGTTCACATCAGACAGTGCTTCTTGAAACCAATAAACCCAAAACAGGTGTGTGTTTTTTAAGGGCAGGACAGCTGTCAGCAACACATCCAATATTATCACACTGATTGGAGTCAAGGTTGGCTCACTCCTGGCTCCAATTAGCTCTGGGAGAAGTCATTAAGCTAGGGCTTCACATACTTTTTCCTCCCTGCACTGTGAATGTTTACATGTTATGTGCAATTAAACCATGGCAACATCTTATGTTTGTGTAGTATTATGTTCAGCAGACTGTGTTCTTCTATTGTTGTGACTTAGATGACGTTCAGAGCACATTTTATGCCCAATTCATGCACAACTCCACGTAATCCCAAGGGGTTCACATACTTTTTCTTGCAACTGTAAGTATTTGATCCCCGTCACAAAACATGACTTAGTACTTGGTGGCACTGCAACCGAAACACGTAAGAGCCACTGTTGAAAATCAAGTAGCAGCTCGGCTTAATGGGACAGCAAATAAAAGGTTCTGCCTGCCACATACCCTGTTTTTTATTAACCTCTTTTTAGAATTGATACACAGCGTTCTCTAGATAGCTGTTCTATCACTAATATGCTAGCAAATGTAGTGCAAACAGTCTGCAGTGAGTAGGCGTAAAAACTCCTGTCCGGTTTTTATTGCTGTCTCTGGGAAGTTTCTCCCTTTCAATTTGTCCTGGTGACCATTGCCTCCATTACAGAAGGTTCTGGGTAACACAAAATGTTAGAAATGTCACAAAAATGAGAAACACGTATTCCTTTGACAACTGTCTAAGATAACATTCCCCTTGCTTTGAAGAGATTTGTTCTCACTTTCTGTTGTGTCTCTGGGATGGAAAGTGAAGGGCAATCTCCACAATGTGACACAGACACAAAAAAAAAAACCTGAGAGGGGTCTGAATCTTTGCTCTAGCAAGTTTTGGTTTTGGTTTTACATGCACTTTAACCAAGCTGCTTTTGCCTCTTTCTGATTGTAGTAAAAGAATGTTTGTTAATGATAATTGTTAATGATAATGTATAACTTTCTGGCAATAATAAAGTTTATTCTCTTTCTACCCAAGATATTCCTTGTTAACACACAAGAGGAGCTGGACAGCTTGGATATTGAAAATGCTTTGGCGTTTCGTAAGGACCTCAGATCCCTTTATTTTAGAGACTCAAATGGGTGGCTACCTATTCAGGTATGAAACTGTAATCTTTACGGTAAAGATAGCATACACTAAAGATGTGTATTGCTTGATAGCTTTTACAATTTGTAGTATTATCCCAATCATTTTGTATATGATTAAATTGAACCTATTACCCAATGTGCTCTAGCATAAACAAAAATGTAATACATTGCAACTTACTAGTCCTTAGATGGTGGCTACATTGGTTCAGGATAAGTACATATTTAGCTGTATGTCATACTTACCTGCTCTGTACAATGGTTTTCCACAGAGCAGCCCCGGTCCTCTTCTTCTCAAGTCCCTTCGCTGGCGTTCCTCCCCCTTGACTAATGTCCTCAATAGCAAGCCGCTTGCTTTGGGGGGCACTAGTGCGTGCATGCTCCTGAGCCCTGCTCTATGCGCCCATAAGACACATAGAGCCATGGCTCAGCCCAGCCCCCGATCTATCCTCATTGGCTCACTGACTGTGATTGACAGCAGTGGGAGCCAATGGCTTCCGCTGCTGTCTGAACCACTGAGGACAGGGAGTCCCAGGACAGCTGAGGTAAATCTGGAGGGCTGTGAGGGAGCAGCACAAAGAAGGTTTATTACTTTCATGCATGGAATGCACAAAGCTAAAAGCCTTCAGCCATTAAAAATACTTAAAGTGAACTTGCCAATTTGAGCTGAAAAAAGCACAAATGTCGTCTTTCTTGTTTAAACTTCAAGTCCCATCAATCCACCATGATAAGGACTGCCAACCCCCACAACTTTCCAAAATATGGAAAACTTATTGAGAGAGCACATTTCTTACTGACAACCTGAATATGACAGAAACTCTCTTAGAAACTAAGAGAACTGGCATTTAAACATTATAAACATAACAAGTAATCAGCCTGGCTTTTCAATGAAAAAGTCAAAACAGCATGACAAAATGTGAGCATGACTGCGATTATGAAACATTTGGGGAACCCTGGGATGGAGCCAAAAAAGAAGTCCTGCGGCACGTGTATCGCACTGTGACAAATGATCAGGTTGCACTTAGCAGTAAGAGTGGCATAAAGAGGGATGATTAAACAGTACCTGAGCCACAGTTCTTGTCCCACAGTCCTTGTCCCACAAAATATTCAGATTTACCAAGCTACAAATTGCAGTCTCACAGACACACATGAACCTCAGAACACATGATTTTTTTTTTAATTACATTTTCAATTGCATATGCTTTTTGTGCACACAAAAATATGTCACTTTGATTAATAAAAAAACACTTTGGTCACAAGTATGTAAAGTATAACATAGTGAATAGGGTGTTGGGGTCAGGAGTAAAGTAACATACAACACAGCATATAGAATGCAGCAGTTAGGATGAGGGGGGAGGGCAGAGAGCAGGGGGAAAAGGGAGACGAGGGAGATGGGGGGGGGTAAAGTCGGCTTCACTGAGAGCTAATGCTGACCAGTAGGTTGAACAAAAGAAAATGGCTTGATTATTTGGATGGGGCAATCCCTTCTACTGAACTATTTTATTCTGACAACAGGGAGACTTCCCTCAAAATGATCACAATACACTGGTCAGCACTGCCAGCTGTAGTCGAGAGAAAAGTTTCCCACATGTTGGTTGATAGATCCACTTCTTTACAATCGGCCTGCCAATATATGGATTGATATTTGGCCGGTCCTGGCTGAAGTGGCTGAAGTTTGATTCATGTATAGCCTGGTTAAAAGATAAGTTCACCTTTGGGAACATGTTACATAGTCCACTTTTTTAGAGTGGAAGAGTTAGCATTACAAAGGTATGAAGGGTGAGGAGGCAATCCTTTGTGGTCACCTACAATTTATCATACAACTTGAAAATATCTTTCATAAACATAGGATGGAGAGACTTTTACTGCTGGCACTGTTCATATTACTGTAACCATATGTGCTATTGAGAGATTTTTCAGTGCTCACACTGTAAAACGGTAATCATGAGGTCATTGAAATTCTTTCAGACCACCGCTTTTTTGGCTGATGGCAGTGGCACCTGTGGAGATGGAATAGTCCAGCATGGAGAAGAATGTGATGATGGCAACAAAATTGTAACTGACAGCTGTATAAGTATGTCTAACCTTCCTTCGGGGGTAAATTGAGAGTAGCAATTTTGTATCATGATTGCTTAAATTTTTTATCCAACTAAATGTTACATACTTTTATTATACTGTAAATATCAGAAGGAAAACATAACTGAAACACTCGACGTGTTTTTTAATACCAGGATGTGTAGAGCCATAGTAACAGTGGCCTTAATGCATGAGGATGCCTAGGAAAATATTCACTTTGTGTTGTGTCACTATAAACTTAACACAGATCGCAACATTAAATACACTGCTATTGCTTCATTTCTTTAGGATATTACAAGATACTGAAACATTCCTCTTGGTTAAGCTTTAATTGAAACTCTTGAGAAAAAATTAGCACTCTCAGGTTTCAAAGGTCATCTTAGATTGTTTAGTGTATGTTGGGAGTGGGGACCAAAATAGGCCATTAGGGTACGTTGGGTTAATAGTAGGTCATTAGAGTATGTTGAGAATTAAGATCATATTAGGCCATTAGTGTATCCTGAGAGTTGGGATCATAATAAGCCATTAGGCCCCTTTCACACAAGCAGATTGATTGGGTCCGCCTGTCCGTTTTTCAAGCGGGCCCAATCGGGCGCTCCATTGCTCCCTATGAAGCGGCGGGTGTAAACGGACATGAGTCCGTTTACACCCTCCTGCATCTGATTCGATCCTGTCCACTAAAAACAGATGGATGGGAATCCGTTCCCCATCTGTCTGGTTGATCGGATCGGATGACAGTCGGATGGAAATGGACAGACAGTTCATTTCCATGTGACAGCCCATAGAGGACAGTGGGCTGTGTCATCCACTTGCTCAGCGGGGATCAGCGGGCAGATCCCCCGCAAGCAGATCCGCTGATGGTTCTGCCCTGTCTGAAAGGGGTCTTAGTGTATGTTGGGAATGGGGATCATAGTAGGCCATTAATGCATTTTTGGAGTTGGGATCATACTACGCCATTAGTGTATATTGGGAGCTGGAATCATATTAGGCAACTTGTGTATGTTGGAAGTGGAGATCATATTAGACCATTAACTGATGTTGAGAGTTGGGATCATACTATGCCATTAGTGTACACTGGGAGTGTAGATCATATTAGGCTATTAGTGTATGTTGGGATCACATTATGTTATTTGTGTATGTTGGGAGTTGGAATCATATTAGGCCATTAGTGTATGTTTGGAGTTAGAATTATATTGAGCTGTTAGGGTTAGTTTGGAGTAAGCATCATATTAGGTCATTAGTCTATGATGGGAATTGGAATTACGAGATGTAATTAGTGTATGCTGGAGGTTAGAATGTGATATACTAAAGTTTATTGAATGTCGTTTTCTTACTTTAATGTCAAACTCATAACCTGACAATGCAACCTTCTAGATTGCAAGCGTGCCTATTGTGGAGATGGCTACCGACAAGAGGCAGTAGAGGAATGTGATGGTAAAGATTTTGGCTACCAGTCCTGCAGAACATATCTACCAGGGTATGTATGAAAGCATATTTTCCCTGTAACACACATGTCACGGTCACAATAGAAAGCATAAATTGTGTTCTTAAATGGACCCACCATTTAGAGCAAAGTGACATTATCTGTGTAGAGCCCACTCCACCAACTGCATTATACTAACCTCTCCAGCATTCCCCCACCACTCCTTACTCCATCACAGGCACCAGCAAAATAACCATCTGGTGTCAGATCCAGAAATAGTAGTGATGTCACCACCTTAACCATGTGACAATAGTTGGGCCTAGTGATTACCCACTAGGCCTGACCACAACATAAGAGGAGGTCGCATGCTCTCCCCACATTTAAAAGCATTGGGCATTAGCAGTGGCAGTCGCATAAGAAGGAGTGGTAGGGAATGGCTGGAAAGGTGAATATAAGGTGATGGCTTTACACAGACACTGCAACAGTTTGAAGCTTTTTGTTAATTTGGTCACTCAACAATATAACAGCTGTCATGTTACTAGAGCAATGCAAACTTTCCTATGCCAGAAACTACCATGAACCAGCAGTTGCATCTTAGTAATGAAAAGCATTGAGGCGTTTAAACGCAGTCCTATGATCCATGACAGGCAAATAGTAGAACATCTTCATGAGAATCTGAACCTCTTCTTAACTGAAAATACAGAACCACATCTGAGACAGATGCAGCAGAAATATCACACTAAAGTAAATAAAATTGGGACAATATTGGTCAATAAACTGTGTTCTTTTATAGCCTAAAACCCACCCTCTTATGACTAGATTTCACATTCGCATTCCAGCATTAACTTGGAAATCTTTATTTTGCAGCTGATGAAACATCACTAACTGATACTTAAATAGTAGTACTAAAGACTTCCCTAATGGATAGCACTTCCGTGGGTGCCCCATCCAATGGGTGCCCTTACGCATTGACCCTACCATTCTGCCTCCCCTTTCTTCCGTGCTCTTGGAGTTTAGAGGCGTGCAGCTCTCCATACACACAGGTCCCCTGACCCAAGACTTAGACAACCCCATATTCACCCCAGGAATAGCGGTTCCAGCCTTTCTTGGGTGGACTCAAGATAAACTGTCACCGATTTGTTCAGCCCTACACCAAAATAGAATCCAACCTCTAACCGTTTTAACAACAAATCTACCCTGTGCCCCGGACACTGGTGGCAATACTTTCAATTATGTGACTGTGACTCACTTCCCTCTCATCCATAGCCATTCTTCACAGAGATCTGACCCCTTTTGAGCATCTCTGTTTGCAGAGGGAACAACCTACTCAGCTTATCAAACAGATCTATGCTATTCTCTTAAAGTTGTTACATTGGAGGCCCCCATATTACATCAGGGAATGGGAAAAGGAGTTGAGCGTTGAATTCTCAGGTGCCCAACTTGTTAAGATTTTCACACTCATGCACAAATCCTGTATCTCCTCAGCAGTACAAGAAAAAAAGCTACAAAATACTTATGTGGTGGTACCGTTGCCCGACACTGCTTTGCAAAATGTACAAAACCATTCTGCCGAACTGCTAGAGATTCGACCACCCATGGGAAACCATGCTTCACATTTGGTGGGAATGCAAGCTCATACACAGTTTCTGGCCGCACATTTTTTGTATCTATGATTTCAGCCCCCCGCACCTCCTTGTCCCCCTCCATTGCTCTCCTTTCGGCACTTCCAGGCTCAAAATCCTCAGGTAAAAAAAAGCATTTCTTCCTCACTGCAGTCAGGTACTGAAAATCAGTGGATGCCCCCAAAGGGCTCTGTGTCATCCTTACTGTATATCCTTGTGTTGGAACAGCTGGTGGCCCACATTTGCCTGAACAGAGATATCAAGGGTCTGAAGATAACAGGTGTCAATCAAGACCACTTTATTTAGAGATGACATCTTATTATATAAAACCTGCCCAAATACCACCCTGCTCAGCCTTTTACTGCTTCTTTCCCACTGCTCAATTCTTTGAGGGTTCACTATTTCTTGTACTCCCGCTTTCCTTCTTCCCTGACCCTGGCACCCCCTTGGGTTCTTTCCCTCCTTCCCTTATCCTTTACTACTTTTCCCCCCAATTTATCCCTTCCTCGTTGTTTTTGCCCACATCTTCCTTCTTAGTCCTCTCCACTTATTCTCTTTTTCCATTCTCATGGTAGGAATAGGTTTTTGTTACATGTCTATTATAGTGGATACTTACAGTCCCGTTCTTATAGAGCTTCATGTGTAGGTGACTACATAGGCTTAAAGTTATATACTAGTTATTCTCAATTAAGTACCATCACATTTGTTATCAAATTAAAATAATGCTCTTTTTGTGCCTTAGGCCAGCCATAGATAATGCGATTTTATTTCCTGCAACCACAGGTTGATGAGGAAATCCCTTTCACAGTGCTATTTTTCCCATGTGCATTTATTGTGTTTAATGGCCATGTGGCTTGTGGGCCCACTCTGTAATCTTTTTATTAACAGAAATTTTGGAAAAGAAAAGCATTCATCTTATAATGGCTCCCCATCAATGACATTTTGGGGGGGATTTACTAAAACTGGTGCACACAGAATCTGGTGCAGCTGTGCATAGTAACCTATTAACTTCTAGGTTTTATTGTTTTAGAATTTTGCCTTTAAATAAACCCCAGATCTAATTTAACAGAATGTTGTTACTGACAGGATCTTCAGGTACGAAACTGCAATAGATTTGCTTAAGAAAACTGTATACAATGTGGCATGATGCCAAACATACCTGAAATACTTTTAAAGTTAACCATCTCTTTGATGCAACACTCACCATAGTATCCAAAAAAGCAGGTTAGTGTAAGTGGCAGTATATGTCTCCCTCAGTAAACACAAAATATTTTAATAAATTATATGTGTTTAGTGTCAAACAAAAAATCCAGTTGATAAAATGGAGATTCTTTTTTCAACAGATCCTATGGACAGTTGCGATGCACATCTTATTGCTACATTGACTCCACACAGTGCCGATACTTCACATGAAGAGCCAGTGGAGAGGAACAGAATCAACTTTGATGTCACACAAACACTGGGTGCTAGCATAAAAGAAATTAAACATGACTGGGCAATAGACTAACCCTACAGTATGAGTGAACGAGAAAAACCTGCTGCCGATGGCTTATTGAGAATTGTCATAAAATGTCTGACTGGAAGAAATAGGACCACAGCATCCTGTCTTAAGAAAACAAGCCAATCAATACTTGCCAGCAAGAATTGTTTCTAACTTACCTTCATAATAAGAACTCTTAACAGGGCGAATGCGTATGGCTGGAACAGTAAATCTCTCTCTACAGGACTATTATATTAAGAAGACAACATGACAAGATTACCTCGATTTAGCACTGTTAACTCTGGATAATGAACTTGTATGTTTTTTTTCCTCTGTCGACTGTTATGAATTGAGCACCAAGCATACCCTGACTTGTGGCATTTTCAGAAGAACATTTAACCTCTGAATGATAATGTGAATCTGGATTGTACTGTACCTCCTATGTTACTTATAAAGTTAGTGTTTAGTCTCGAGTTCCTCTTGTGAATCTTATTGGTCTGGTGCCCTGAGATAAAAGCAGGAAATTAAATAAGACGAAGAGGACAAGGAAAGGGATTTCTGGAAAAAAAAGTTGACAAGAAGAGTAATTTGTGGTCAAAGTGGACAATAATGCTGTGTGTAGACCAAGCACTCAAGGTTGCTCCAGCAAGAAAAAAAACATTGTGGATGATTCCTTGTGTTATCAAATCAATGTCAATGCATGAAGCAGTATATTCAGGGTTTAATAAAGTTGGTGTAGCAGTCCCAACACCCCGACATATAGCTTGCACGTCCTTTGGTCTAAAATATGGTCAATAGATGCTGTGCTGTGTCATAGTACCTAAGCCATAAACAATAATACCTATTTTACAATCAAATATAAAAATATTAAATTCAGATAAAAAAGGAAAAAATAATAGAATAGCTGTATATAGTTCTAGTAAGACCAGATGTAATGTACTGCTGTTTTAAAGCACTCTTAAGTGTAAAATGTCATACTTTGTTACATAAATTTGTCCATCTTCTTATTTAATTTCCACCTTTTTGTAGACCTTGTAATTTATTTTTATTAATGTACATTTCTGTATACCTTTGCTGTTTTTGCTGCTCTAATAATGTCATGCATAATATTATGCAGAATTGTTTTCTTATTTTTTACTCAGATATCACATTAGCCATCTACGTGCGTCACTGTCCTGTTTTGTCATATTTTGTATAGTATTGTGTACTCTTGGTCCCATGTCTGTTTGGCAGGTTCCAAATGTCTACGTATTATGCACATGCTGTCTGCATTCTATGGGATTTCATGCAGCCTGTTAAGTGTACATAGACTTCTGTATGAATACTACAAAGTTTAAGTGGACTGAAAAAACTCTGGACTGTTATTAAAACAAGCTAATATGCATATTTGTCTATGTTAAATAATTTCCATTGAAAGCCCTATGGGCCAGTTTACAATGATCAAGTAAAATAACACAATTACTGTTTGAACTTTGGCACAAGCAAAGCAAATGAAGACTTGGCATGCATGTGTTCCAGGATATGGTGACAGCATTGCAGTGTTGTCAGTGCGTTGCAGTATGAGCATCAAAAAAATGTAATGCCATGAAAATGTATGTAGTGTTTGTATCAGTTTTGTCAGTATAATCACATGGGTCTCTTTATCTCTGCATGCCCTTGATCATGGAACTCACCAGTGAAAATAAAACAATCTCCTGTCTCAAATCTGTGACTAATCCTTACACATCCAGAAACCATTGCATTGATTGTGGACAATATTTGGTATGAACAGATTTGCAATTTCAGAGCTATGTTCAGTGTTAATCTAATAGTAAGGGTAAATCCATCCAAAAAGTGATATTTTAGTTTCTGATAGACATTGGACTGTCAAAGTATGAATCTAATCATACATTTTAAAGTTTTGGGTAGAGTGTGGTAAGGGATAGATTTTCTGCCACATTTATGGATGGGCAATACATGGAAAGGGCCATTTTAGAAGGACTAGCATTGAAATGTGTACAACCATGGGTAAAAAAAGTAGAAACTTAAATGGACAGTGAATATAAGAAAAGTTTTACTTCACAACTCAAACAACACAGCAGAGTTGCAAAGTCCCTTTGTATGTTATCTGGACCAGATATACAGTATGTCTCTAGTTTAATCCAATATACACTATATTGCCAAACATATTGGGACGCCTGCCTTTACACGCACATGAACTTTAATGGCATCCTGGGTCTTAGTCCATAGGGTTCAATATTGAGTTGGCCCACCCTTTGCAGCTATAACAGCTTCAGTTCTTCTGGGAAGGCTGTCCACAAGGTTCAGGAGTGTGTCTATGGGAATGTTTGACCTTTCTTCCAGAAGCGCATTTGTGAGGTCAGGCACTAATGTTAGAGAAGGCCTGGCTCACAATCTCCGCTCTAATTCATCTCAAAGGTGTTCAGTTGGCTTGAGGTCAGGACTCTGTGCAGGCCAGTTAAGTTCCTCCACCCCAAACTCGCTCATCCATGTCTTTATGGACCTTGCTTTGTGCACTGGTGTGCAGTCGTGTTGGAATAGGAAGGGGCCATCCCCAAACTGTTCCTACAAGATTGGGAGCATGAAATTGCCCAAAATGTCTTGGTATGCCGACACCTTAAGAGTTCCCTTCACTGGTACTAAGGGGTCAAGCCCAACCCCTGAAAAACAACCCCACACAATAATCCCCCCTCCACCAAACTTTACACTTGGCACAATGCAGTCAGGAGAGTGCCATTCTCCTGGCAACCACCAAACCCAGACACGTCCATAGGATTTGCCAGACAGAAAAGCGTGATTCATCACTCTAGAGAACACGTCTCCACTGCTCTAGAGTCCAGTGTGGTGTGCTTTACACCACTGCATCAAACACTTTGCATTGTACTTGGTGATGTAAGGTTTGGATGCAGCTGATCGGCCATGGAAACCCATTCCATGAAACTCTCTATGCACTGTTGTGCTAATCTGAAGGCCACATGAAGTTTGGAGGTCTTTAGCTATTGACTGCAGACAGCGACTTCTGTACACTTTAGCATGTGCTGACCCCGCTCTGTCATTTTACATGGCCTACCACCTTGTGGCTGAGTTGCTGTTGTTCCCAGTTTCTTCTACTTTGTTATAATACCACTAACAGTTGAAAGTGGAATATTTAGTAGCAAGGAAATATCACAGATGGACTTATTGCACAAGTTACAACCTACCACAGTACCACGCTTGAATTCACTGAGCTCCTGAGAGCAACTGATTCTTTCACAAATGTTTGTAGAAGCAGTCTACATGTCTAGGTGCTTGATTTTATACACCTGTGGCCATGGAGGTGATTGGAACACCTGAATCCAATGATTTGGAGGGGTGTACCTATACTTTTGGCAATATAGTGTATGTATACTGTGAAGATGATGCAGTACCTGTTTCTACAGATTTCATAAGAGGACTGTACATTTATCTGACATTTACAACTCTACAACTTTAGTACTGGAAATGTCGGCTCAAGGCATGAACCTCTTACAAGATTTGTGCATTCATGTACGTTTAGAAGGAAAATCACAATGGAGTGCAATCACAGTCATAAAATACCATTGTAGAGACATATAATATCACAGGAAATCACTGAAGGTAACACTTAGTACCCAGTAGCAGCGCTAACAAACCAGTTAGTAAAGGCAAACTTAATATATTGTGACCCAATATATTTGGTAACTAGGCAAGCATAGACTGGATTAACATAGTAATAACAACAGCTTGCAAAAGGGTTGATTTACTAAAACTAGAGAGTGCAAAATCTGGTACAACTCTTCACAAAAACCAATCAGCTTCCAGTTTTTTTGTCAAAGCTTAATCAAACAAGCTGAAGTTAGATGTTGATTGGCTACCATGCTCAGCTGCACCAGATTTTGCACTCTCCAGTTTTAGTAAATCATCCCCAAATTGTTTAACAGTTAAGGACTAGGTATACAATGACATTTGGGGGTTTATTTACTAAAGCTGGAGAGTCCAAAATCAGACTCCCTTCTGCATAGAAACCAATCAGCTTCCAGGTTTCATTGCCAAAGCTTCATTGAACAAGCTGAGGTTAGAAGCTGATTGGTTTCTATGCAGAAGGGAGTCTGATTTTGGACTCTCCAGCTTTAGTAAATAAACCCCTTGGTGTCTAGATCAGCATAAACAGTAGCTAGGCCACCTCAAGTGCAGCAGTGAGCAGTAGTAAAGTTTATTCTACAAAATCCTTGAACTATACTGCCGGAATGAATTTATGGCGGTGATTCTAGTCCTAGACTGCACCGTCCAAAATAAAAGGAAGATGATAGCAGAGAGGGGCAGGGGAACAAAAGGGGGTTTACATAATAATTATTATGGGGGGGGGGGGGCAGTCCTTTGAGATCTTCTTCTGCTGGCTATCACTGGGGCCCTTTAAGAGCATCAGTGCACCTAAAAACAGTCCCAGTTAACTTGCGTGCAGTATAGGTATGGTATAGTCTGAGCACAGGTGCGCAGCAGATGTAGTTCAGATGTGGTAAAGGTTCGGTATAATGCAGAATAGGGTTGTATAGGTGCAGTCTAGGTTTGGACAGTATAGGGTGCAGTATGAGTGTGGTATAGATTGGATACACGGATGTCCTGCTCAGTCCCTGCTAGTATCAGCAATGAGCAAATACCTCTGTTATTATTCCCTGGGATGCTGCAGTGACCCCTACTGTAGAAGGGAGGAGCCCCCCTCAGTCTCTCCCCACAAGCCTCCGATTATCAGCAGTGAGGAACAGAGGGTGAGTGAACACTCCAGTCTCCTTGCAGTGAAGGTACTGTGATGTGGGCAGTGCTGCTCTACCCTTGGGTGTCCTCACTCACAGCCTCAGGCTTGCATCTATGCTGGTATGGTATCCAGCTGGTAGGTGAATATTCAGACAAAGGTACTCTCTGTCTAACTTCTTCAGTG